TGGGAGTCCCAGCAGAACAGGGCGTGCGCTTCCTCTGTTCCTACAGACAGCGCTTCCCCTTTCTGTGCCTGTCCTCCCTGGGTGGGAGGGCTGGCAGCTGAGGCGTGCGGGCTCCCCGGCAGGACAGCTTCGGCTGGCAGTGCTATGGAGGGGAAATGTGCCGCTCTGCAGACACTGTGCTTGCAGGACACCTCCGGTGTGACAGTAAACACGGAGACCCGTTTCCTAACCTAGGCGATTGCCAGGGAGCACAGGAAGGCCGTGGCCCAGGAGGTGAAACCTGCCTCAGCAATTCTCCAAGCTGAACAAATGTGGGAAAGTCATCAACTGGAGGCAGGGAAGGCCCTGAGCAGCGAGAGCCCTGGCTGGGAGGGCCAGCAGGGTCCCACCGGGGCTGCTGGTGTCATCCTGCAGCAGCGTAAGGCACTACCCCCATGCAGGCAGGGAAAGACCCCCGCTGCCATCCTCACTGGGGGTGCAGAGAGACCGGCACTGCCATCACCTGCCGAGGAAGGGAAAAGGCACTCTGGGTTTTTGGCTCCTCTGACAGAGTGCCGGCCAAGCCTAAGTCTGCCCCCATGGCTGCGGAGGAGGGAGGAACAGCCATCCTCCCTCCCCAGCACACCAAGTCTTTGTAGTGAGGGGAGGGTGAGCCCCCTGCACCCCCGCATCCCTCACAGAAGGGGGCCTCTGTGTGATTGCCTACAACAGTCCCCGACTCGGACGGGGCAACCCCAGAGGCTCAGGGGCAGATCCCAGCTCTGCCGACACCAGCACCAGGCTGGCATCCCTGCAGCCCAGCCGTGACCCCAAACCCTGCGGGCAGGGAGGGGGCAGCTCCTACAGGGGACACTGGCTGCTGGAGGAGCCCTGGCCACAGCTCCCACATGCCCACGTGTGCATGCACACACACACACACAGAGGCAGCCAGGATCTTGGAGACATTCAGGACAGGGGAGTCACCAGCAGAGCCCAATTTGGTGGTCCCTGCCGTGAGCCTTGAGTCCACCCCCCGTGAGGGTCAGGCCATGGCCAGGCCCTCCACACGGCTGTGGATGTGGGCCGTGCTGGACACGCCACTTTCGCCTTTGTAACTTTTGGGGGCCCGGCTGGCTTTAAAAACAGGAAGGTGTCTGTGGAAATGGCCCCAAATTCAAAGGTGAAGGTGCCATAGAAGACCAGGACATTGATGATGAACATCCACTCGCACAGGGCAGCCACATGCTGCAGCACGAAGCTCTCCTGGATGAAGAACACACCGCCTGAGGGCATCCATGTCAAGGAAAGCACAGCTGGACCCCAACCACCCCATGGAGGACCACATCCCACTGCCACTGCTGTGTGAGCAGCCCCCTCTGCAGGAAACACACGACCACCCTTAAAACCAAGAAACTCCACATGCTTCCTCCAGTGCTGGGAGGGTCCCAGCACAGGTGAGGTGGTGGCACACGTGCCCAAACCAGCCTCAGTAAATCATGGGACTGATGCCAGGTGGGGATTTTCTGAAGAGGCTGGAGCAGGGGAAACTCGGGCTGCAGTTCTCAGGGCAAGCTGGGTGCCTGGCTGCCTCACCCTCCCCACAGCTCTCACCTCTTCCTCAAAGCAGGCTAACACTCCTCATCCTCCTGTGGGATGCAGTCAAAGTCAATAAAACTCATCAGTCCTCCATCCTCTCAGTAAGGGGATTTGGGCTGCTGTGTCCCAGCACCCCCTGTCCCTCTGTGCTGCCGGCTGGCTGACCCCGGAGAGGGGTCTTGCTCCCTCTCCTCCAGGTCCTACCACTGCCAGAGCTTCCTTATGCTTCTCTCATCCCCACTGGGGATCTCCAAGGAAGCACGCTGCCAGAGCCACCATGGGTAAAGGGAGAAGGCAGGTATATCCCCCAGCCCCCCGGGTGAAGTCTCCGGCAGTACCTCCGCCAGCAAGACCAAGATCTGGGAGAGCTGGAGAGGCAGGTACCTGACCTGTGCAAGGCAGAGCCCTCTGCTCACTCCCTCCATCCCACCAGGAGAGGTTCCAGCCCTTTCTCCACACCGTCCCCACCACAGCTCGCTGCTTTCCCACTTCCAGTCCCCAGAGCTTACAGAGCAGCATGGCCATGGCAGACAGGCACCAGTCCCGTCTTCCTTATCCTCACATGCCCTGCCGGTCCCTCCCAGCTGGCACGGCCTTGTGGCACTCCTGCCCTTCCCAGCTCCCTGCCTGCTTCCTGCCCGCCTGCCTGCGGCAGTGACAGAGCAGGACCCTCCGGCACCCCCCTCCAGGCTCCTCCCATGCTGCTCGCCCCAGCCAGACCCCAGCCAGCCTCTTTGGGACCTGTGGACACCGCAAGCTTTCTCCCCTTCCTGCCCAATAACCACCACCTTGTTTCCCAATTTATCCCTAACCTCAGTCCCAAATAAGCCCCTGGCTCTCCAGCCACACACTCAGGACCATTCTTCCAACCCTGCTCCGCCTGCTGCCGTGCCCTCCCTTCCTGGCACGGTGTTTGCAGACCTCAGGGTGCTCATCGAGCCCTCCCTTGTCCTACAGGCAGGTTGACCGGTGGGCGCTGGTGAGCCCTGGCTGGCAGAGGCACTGCCACGCGCCCGCCTGGCAGCCACACAGAGCACTTTTGTGCTCAGCTTCGGTCGTATAGGTAACTCAGATGGACTTTGCATTGCCGAGGGCTCAACATACCTTTGTCTCATTAAAAAAACCCCAAACAATTAACCAGCCCTTCCACTCTACAAAGTGTGGGGCTGGAGCCTGCAGTGGTGGCTGGGCTGGGCTGCAGCAGCTAGGGCAGGGCTGGTTCAGGGTGCCCCAGCGCACTGAGAGATGCTCACCAGTATCGCTGACCCACGCAGCCCCTGCCAGCCCAGCATGGCCCTGACACTGCTGCTCCCCCAGCCCACTCCTGCAGTGAGCTGCCCGGCCTCAGCTGCCCAGCCCCTCTCCTGGCACCATGCCATGTTGCCAGACCAAAGGATGGAGGACGTGGGGTGCGTACCCCCTGAGAGGTCCTTCCTTTGCCAGCCCATCCTGAATCTCCCCCCCGCACCCTTCAGAAGGATACTGAAGACAAGAGTGACGAAGGCCACGGCAGTGAGGATGCTACGTAAGTGGCCGGTCCAGTACTGCCCACAGGTTTTGGCCATACGGTAGGTTAGGATGGACTGCAGTAGCAGGGACAGCATGCTGGTGGGAAACGCCACCCCCGCCCCAATGTAGTGCAGCACCTTGGCGTGATCCACCTGCAGAGGAGAGACCGTTGGCACCCTGGGATGCTGCCCCAGAACGGCTCTGCCCCAGCGGGGTGGGTTCATGCCCACACAGGGGGGTAGGCAGTGCCAGGAGTGGGTCCAGGCAGCTCGCCCCATGCCCGACTCCTGGCTAAAGAGCAGTTCTGGACTCACCAGCTGCTGCTAGGATCCCAAAGTGCTTCTGTTTCCTTCATCCATGGGGTCGTAGCTCCTGAGCCCCTTTGGCTAACAGCCCTGCTATGCCCGAGGGCATACTCGCTCCCCTTCCTGGGGGTCACAGCCCTGCCTTCAGCAGAGCTGCTGAGCCACGGCTGGGGCACAAGTGGGACTGGGGCCAGCAAAGCTTCTCCCGGGGGGCGGTGCCGGCAGCAGCCTCCTGCCAAGCACAAGGGACTGGCTGGCGCAGGTCGAGGGGGGGGCGACGGCCGG